TAAATATGGGATATTACAAAGATGCCCCTAGTAGGGCGGCAACTCAACTAAGTACTTACAATACTTTTAAAAATAAAAGACTAATGGGCCCAAGGCCCAACAACTTCTTAATTTAAAAAAAAAACAAACTAAACATAAACCGGCCCAACATAAATCAGCCCACTCAACAGACACTATTGTATTTAACTGTTATTTTAATGAAAGCTATTGTTTCCAATAAAAAAAATGCATAGCTGCAGTATAAGTAAAATAAAACCAATGATGGTTTAAAAAAAAATGGCCACCAAAATAAATTCTAACATAAGGGCCATTACCCAATGTTGATCCTGGTTATCTGGGGTTTTGGGAAGGATAGACTTGATACAGAACCTAACCTTTGACATTTTTTTAACAAAGTGGCTGCTCTTACACTTGAACCCACATCCACACACTTGTCAGCACAAGTTTTGATTTGATATTAGCAAATTAATGTACCACAAGCTAAGTAAACAATGAAAGGAAAAGAGAAACAATAAAAGCAAAGAATGTACCTGTAAGAATTGCCTGATCAACACGTAGCTGATTACTTAGCATCTCAATCATTCTCATATCTGCAGGAACTTTGCATCCCACTACACCATCCAGAAGCAGGGAAAAACCAAAAAAAAAAAAAAAAGAAAAGAAAAAGAAAGAAAGAGATCCATAATCCCTCCTAGACAAAACAATATTAAAGAGTAAAAGAAGCAATGACAACTAATTGAAATCTTGTTTTCTTGAGTGAACATACCCCCAACTTCAACAATATCACCTGGAACAAGTTCAGTTGCTGGTAGTATTGAGAAACAACCTGCAAAGATCATTTCACATGCGACCACAAGAGAGTCAATTTTCGGAAATTTGATATATCAGTGTGTGTTTGGGGGGGAGTAAAGGAGATTTAATACACACACATATGACAAACAATGCAAAATTGTATTAATACATACACATAATAACACAACTTTATTAATGAATAGGAAAAAGAAGATATGCATAATGTTTCATGATAACATCCTGGGCACAAAAAGAAATTTAAGTACACATTTGTGTCTATGTATGCCTGTTAATAAGTGTACACAATGGCCAATATCAATGATATTGAACAGATAAAAACTAAAATCTCATCAAGTGGTTTGGGAACAGAAGAAATCAGAGGTTTATGTGATGCAAATGCAATTCAAAAGACAACTCCAAGTCAAATAAGCAAAATCAGAACTTGACTGGATTCTAGTGATAACTGGTTCTAGATTCTAGGGTTCATTTGATAGCTTGTGCCTCATCATCCAACCATTAGATTAGCCTAGATTTGTTTGAGGTGGTTTTATGATTTTATAACCTTGTACAGTGTTTTAAAAGCACAAGATGCCAAAAAAAAAAAAAACGCAAGGGCCATTTTGCGCCCAAGGCACGAGGTGCAAGACAAGGCATGTTCCTTTTTGAAGCAAGGCATAAAAGTGCAAAAAATAAGCAAAAATATTCAAAAATATTAAACATAATATTAATTATTAATTAAAATAGAAACTTAAATTAAAAAAAAATGTTTTAAAATACCTATTATCTCAAATTAAAATACATAAACATGATATGTAAAACATATTTAAAATGAAAATTTAAAAACAAAATCAAGCATAAAGATATAAAACATATTCAAGTATGTAAAACTCTCAACCTCTTTATTTTTCCCCAAATTGCATTACTTCAAACAGCTAATGCAATGTTAAACATTATGCATTTCTGATTTTACAAGCCGCTTTTGGTACCATGCCCCTCAAGGAAAGTGCCACGCCTGGGACCTAGGCAACCTGTGTGCCTAGGCACGTCTTTTAAATTTTTTGGTAATAAATAAGAAAGAGAATTTATTAGAAGAAAAGAGAGTACAATAATGGTGATAAGAAATCATCAAACACAGAAAATCCCCCAGAACCTTCCCCCTAAAAACTTAACAAAAGCTCACTTGAACAACCTTCTCACCAGACAAAAGCTCACTTGAAAAAAGACTATAAAAACTTAACACCTAAAGAAGCCTGATGCTACACTACACCATAAAACTGCTTCAGCAAATAGCTAGAGAAAACCCAACTACTCTTCCTTTCCATCAGCTTGAACATAATACTCTTTATGTCTATTATTCACTCTCTTTGTTTTCTTCACTTTAATCAAAGCCCAATACCGAATAAACCCATCTTCAACTTGGCGAACATTCTTGAAACTTGCACTGTTTGGTGTTTGTTTTGACTCTTGAAACTTCTAACTGCATTAGGAATTTTCACAGGTGCTCCAAGATTCTTAGGGCTGTCAATTATCCTTTCTAATACAAAAACCGCATTTTTCTCAAAGAACTGATCTGCTTCCATCTCACCGCCTTCTTTAAGATCATTCCTTTCATCTCCAAACAAACTCAAACCACCCAGGTTGATCCCACCCTCCCTCGTAAAGGCCAGCCATTCCAGATTTCGAACTGTCGATTCCTTGCTATTTGTCCTTTTTTCTCTCCCTTTCTTCTAGTTCTCTGAAAGCCTTCAAAGAACTCCCCCCCCCCCCAAGAAAATGTAAACCTAGAAGCTTATTTTTACTTCTACCTCCCTGTTCACCACCAAATCCAAATCAAGATTCCCCTGAATCTCCAGTGGATATTTTCAGGTGGTCATTTCTTGGACAAAATGCAATAACCAAATACCATGGATCTATAGACATACCCTTCGGGAAATTGAAAGCATAATAAGAGAACTAACAATGACTTTTAAATGGGTGAGAAGAACAGGAAATGGGGTGGCGGATACTCTAGCCAAGCAAGGGGCTTTAAGACAATGTTTTGGGCACAGTTGTAATCTTTTGTTTGTTCAGGGTGGAGAATAATCCCACCTTGGTGTAACCTTAATCTCATGGGTTTCATACAAGATCGCACCTTCTTCTTGTCATTCTTCATCTCTGCATCCCTTTCTCCCCTTCTCCTTTAGAATAGGCTTAGTTCTGTAATTTCAGATTAATCAGAAGTGCCGTCATCTGGCTACTGCACAGAAGCTGGTTTCTGCGAAGTGCGAACTAGGTGTACTGCCCAATCTAGAGTAGTCTGTTGGCAGTCATTCCTTGCATTTGAATTGGGTTTAGTAAAGGTCCAAAAAACGATCACTTGAAATTAGGGTCAGTTCAGGAATTTCATACAAATATAATTTTTCGGTGTTATTTGATATCTGAACATTGGGTCCAGTTGGGATTAAGTTGTTTAATGGTTTAGTAGAAGCAGTACATGTGTCCTTTGTATTTAAGATGATTTTAAGGGTTCTATATTCTATGAATAGTAAGGGGAATATTGATTTTTAATAGAATCATACTTTCTTCAAGAAGAACTTTTTTTTGAAGAATGTCAGGTTTTTTTTTTTGATAAATAATGTCAGGTAAAATTTTTCATTAAATCAAAAAGAAAGCCCCCTGTACAACAAGAGGCTGTACACTGGGAATGTACAGAAATACATCCTTGAACCCTATACCATCACCCCCTCACTATTAACAAAAAGATTTTCAAAAACAAAAAAAGGACTTATTCTTTGCTCTTGTATGGTTCAGCCAACCTAAACAGGTTTTTTGTCTATTTTCCACTGAGTTTTCTCTCTTCTACTTACCTCTTGAGCAATCACCACTGCTACTACTACCTTGTTTTAGGATTTTTTTATGGTTTATTTATGTATGCATGTATGTTTACATGATTAATGATTAAATACAAAAATATATGTATATAGAAATATACATAATGGTGAATAACGGTTCAATTGCAATAACAATCAAATAACGGTACAATTGCAATAAAAATCAAATAGCGGTACAATTATATTAATAAAAAGAGAATAATAGAATCCTGTGCGAGATTCCCTATCTCATGGAATGAAAGGGTGGATAGACAATAGTTGTGTTGGGGAGAAGAATATCCATTGGGTTAATTCCATAACAGCTGTGGGACTCTTAATGGAGCAGAGGATTGTGAACTGTCTCTGCTACTGCTACTTTATTGATTTTCTTCTGTTCAAAACAAGGTCATGCATTTAATGAAAAATAATTTATAACTAGAGTAGTAGAAGAATGCAGAGGAAACAGGCTGTCCTTTTCCAAAATCCATATTCTGCAATGAAGGTGACCGTCGATGTTAGGGGTATTGACAAGTTGGAGGAAAGAATGAGGGTGTTGTATGCTAGTCTGGTTGGTAGAGTAGTTGGGAAAGAGATGGAAGTAGAGAGAGTTGAAGATTGGGTGGTCTTAGAATGGGGAAAGGAAAGGGTCATGGGAGCGAGGAAGTTTAACGGAGGCCAGATGCTATTCATGTTCTACAATAGGCAGGAGGATGGGTTTTGGAATATAAGAGAACAAAGAAGAGAATTCTTGATATGCGAATTGATTGGCGGTTCCCAACGGTAGGAGAAGACGAACATTGTGGGTTGGAGTGATCAGCATCCCATTGCATGCATGGAGTATTCTAACTTTCAAAGAAATAGGTAATAGCTGCGAAAGGTTCATGAAATATTATGACAAAAACAGGTCCTGGGAGAATCTGGATATGGAAAGAATCTTAGGGCTTGTTCGTTTCCTCTTAACTCTTATCTCTTAAGAGGAATCTTTTAACTTTAGGAGAAAATAGTTGTTCGTTTCCTCTTATCTCTTATCTCTAAGTGCAATCATACAACTTTTTGTTTTCCAATGATACCCCCAAAAAAACAAACAAAAACTCTAATATATGGGGTTAAAATGGATATCTGATAATTTTCAGAATTCAGAATTCAGAACAACATTCTCTGCATTCAGAGTTCAGAGGAAAGAAAAGTTCACCAATACCAATATAACCCTTAATGTAATTATTGCACTTTCAGATGTCAGACTCCAGAGCAAATGAACAGGCCCTTAATTGAGGTTGAGGAGGTCTCTGCTATCCCACACAAGATGGAACTTAAGTTCGCAGGAAAAGGGTATGACCTAAGAGTAAAAGATGAAGGGGAAGACAACTTTTTTTAAGAGCGGAGGAAAAGGGAACAATGGAAGAGCAGAAGGTTGTAGATGAGGTAGGAGGTAAGGAGGAGAAGGGAGGAGATAGAGGTGCAGAAGTCTCCAGTAGCAAGGTAGAGGAGGAAACGGAGGAAGTCAGGGGATCAAAGAGTTGGGAGTTGAGGGAGGAGGAAGGAGAAAAGGGTGATGTGACGGGCAAAAATAATAAAAGGACACATGGAGAGTATGAGATTAAGAGGACGGATGGGAGATGTCCACATGGAGAGAGAGTATGATAAGGTGATAGAAGCCCAAGAGTCGAGCGAGAGGATGGGGGGAGGTAGAATACAGGTGGTAGCCGGTAAACATATGAAAGAAATTAGAAGTGGAGACCACCGCTTTAAAAAAGGGATTTAAAAGAAAGAACTGGCAGAAGAGGTTACCGGTGTTAAGGGGTGTTTTGGGAAAAGAAGGTCGGAGACAATGGGCATTGAGGAGACAAAGATATAGAAAAAAGAAAATGAGCAGCAGATTTTTTGGGCTAAATTGTAATGCGTGTTCAGGGTTTTGTGTTCTAATTGTATTTGGATAATCAGTTGGAACTTGGAAGTGGGTAATTTACTCACAGCAATGTAACCTCCAATTTAATTATATAATTAATAAAGTCTACCTTTGCTGATCAAAAAAACCTCAACAGATTGCAAGATTTGAGTAAGGAAGGAAGATTGTGTCGATTGATGGTGGAGAAGCCAAGGAATTTGGGAAGACTAACTTACATACAGTACATCGGTAGCTGGAAGGAATGTCGGAGCTCGAAGGGGAAGCGTTTGTTCAAGCTCGCAAGTCCAATCAAGAATTAGAAGGTCTTTCATTGACCCAAAATTGTTCGTCATCTAAGCTCTAGCTTCTAGAACCTATTATTGGTGGTGGAAGAAGAGATTCAAGTTGTGAAGAAGTTGCAGATGGGAAGAGAGACAGAGCTAACCAGGAGGATTCTATAGCGGTGACAGGAAGCATGGAGAATGTCCTGCCTAGTTTGAGAACTGTGGAGATCACTGCTTGTCTGAATACTAAGGTGAGTTCCAATTCTTTAATTTCTTCAATGGCATTGGAAGACGTCAATAAGCAAAGGGAGGAGAAGGGAATCAGAGAAAAAGAAGAGATAGGCAAGGAAAGGAAAGAGAAAATTCTCTAATTGGAAGAAAGAAGTGAGCAACAAAGGGTCTATAATAGAAAAAGAAGAATTATCCATCAAGGAAATAAAGAAGCTGGGGCTGAGAGGGGAGAAGTGAGAGAGCATGAGGTCTCTGGAGAGGAGATAAGGGAGGAAGGAGAGACGGTTGAGGATCTTGAGGGGGAGGAGGTTTCAAAAGAGGAAGGTTTTGGGGGGGAAAAGGGTGGATATTGAGAAGCTAGTGGACAGACAGGTGGAGATGGGAAAATCTCTCAGTTTACTTTTTTCTAGGAGGGGAGAGAGTAGTTAGAAGGGCAATTGAACAGTTCAAAAGGGGCAGGAGAGAAGGAAAAAAAAACAAGAAAAAAAGTCTTAGGGGAGGGGCGTGAGGAGTGGGAGGAAGGAGAATGGAGGGAAGAGGATTTGGTGGAAGAAGAGTTAAGGGGATGTTAGAAGAAAAAAGAGAGGAGGGGCGGTGGAGGTTGAACTGGAAATGGGACTGTTATCTTGGAATGTTAGGGGTCTGAGAGATGGAAGAAGAAGGGTTTAAGGAGTGTGATGAGAAATTTCAGTCCATATATGGTGCTGCAGCAAGAGACAAAGCTGCAATTGTTGTGGTTAGGAATTTTCAGCCAAGGTCTTCAGCAGAGATTTTCTCTACATGGCCAAGTCTCTGAGGTTATTAAATGGCAAAGGTATTTTGGAACTGTCTACCGTTTGCCATATTCTGGAATATTTGGTAGGAGAGAAATAGAAGGCTCTTTGAAGAAAAGGAATGGAGATTGGATAGGTTGGTGGCAGCTGTTAATAAATCTGTTGCAGTTTGGGTTTTGGTAATGCCTGATTTTGTACAAGTCAAGAAAGAAGACCTTGGGGTCAGTCTATGGTAACTGTTGGATAACAAAGTTGTAATTTGGACAATTTGTGGTGATTAGTTTTCTTTTTGTTTTTGCTGACATTTGAGTTGATTCTTGGTGTCTCCTTAACACTTTCTCAGTTTGTAATTTTCGTTTTCCTTTTACTTATCAAAAAAAAAAAAACAATGTATAACTAGATACACGTGATCATTGACGGATTTGTTTCTCATTGATGACAACGCTTTTGACTTTTTGAGTAAGTTGTGACTGACAATATGGAAATGTTGTGAAGGCCAATTAGGTCAGCAAAGGAGAGATATACTTCTGAGTAGTAGTTACTGTTGCTTCATTGGTATCCCCTAAAAGAAGAATGGATCTCCACTGAAAGGAAGTCAGAGGAGTGTGGACAAGATTCAAGTGGTAGGTTCATTCCTTTCTTACTTTTGCATCAGAGCTTGAAGTTTTAAAAATGGTAGGAAATATTTTCATGGTTGTAACCAATCGAAATATATATATATATATATATATATATATATATATATATATATTCATATCCTGTTTCATATTTAATAATATTCAAGTCAATGTTCCTTATCAAAAAAAACATATTTTCATGGTTGTATATTGAAGTTGGCTTTTTTAGAACCTACTATGTGTCAATTTCCATCTATTAGTGTTTGAGATCATTATGGGGGACCTCTGGTGGCCTCCACAATTGGAGAATGGAACTACTGGAAAGGTTTCAGGGTTTCTGTTGAAGTTGATGCATAACCAGTGGTGTGAGAGACTCTTAATGCTGCACATAGCTTAATGACATCTAAGGGTGGCTTAAGAACCCCAAGCCGTTAATATTTGAGATTCACTAAGCATATCACGGTTTATTTCAATAAAGAAATGGAAGTAGAAGACCCCCAATTTGTAACAGGATGGATGAACAAAGACCCATAGAAGGGCATGGGTTGAAGTAGTAAGAAATTATTTAAGCAATCATAATTTAACAAAAGATATGGCATTAAACAGAACGGAATGGAAAAACAGGAACCATGTAGTCAACCCCATATAGTTGGAAGGCTTAGATGATGATGATAAATGAACAAAGGAGGGGAAGGTCCAATTAGTATTCATTTAATTAGGGAGGACAGATCTTTCACCTTCAGTTAGAAGATCAGCAATTGACAAGGCAAACCCACTGGCAAGACAAGGGGATATTGGTCGGAAGGGCTTATTGGCTCATTTTTTTATCCCTCGAGAAAGAGGTCTTTGTTATACATTATTTTCCTATCCAACAAAATTTCTTGCTGATCTGTTACCAATCGGGGGAAAATAAAATATAATCCAAGCATAATAATCTTCATGTATTAAATAATCATATTATGCACAAAAAAAATTGTGAAAATGTCCACTCACCATTTCTCAAAACTGTTGCAATATCAGCTTGGTACGCTCGAAGCTCCTACAGTATAGATATTAAAGAACACAATCAGCCAATAATTAACCAAGGTCAAAATAAAAGTTCCATAAAGCCTAAACCAAAAAGAATTTAATATGGAGAAGTCTCATTGCACTCTGCCTGGTGTGCACACAAAGAAGAAGGTTTAGGTGAAGCTATATATCACAAAAAGATATTGAATAAACATTAAGCAATTTATTCACAAAATTTCTAACTATTATATTTAGATCATGTCAAACACATATAGCATGTTAGATGGTATGTGCATGAGAAAAACTACACTGTTTTCCCCCTTTCTATGAGATTCGGGTATTCGACAACTTTTTTCTTCATAAACCCCAAAATTTACTCTCGGTGGAGGAGTGGCCACCATGAATTTTATTCATTGTAAAAAAGGTATTTGGCAACCTCATTTTATGATTTTATCAGCAACAAAATAACTCTGTGTTGATCATACAAAGAAAGAATGATACAATTGTATAGTACAATTTTAAACAAGACCCTGAAATTAGGTCCTACCCCTGCCTCCTAAAGAAGACTGTTCCAGTTGACTATGTACCCCAGGATAAAGTTCTCTTCCTTTCCCCTGCCTTTTAAGAGGGTATGCTTTTCCTGTCTTTACTATTGGTTAAGAAGGGAAATATTGTAGTTCAGTTTATAGCTTAATTGCCAGAGGTGAGAGGTGGACCTGGCTGGTTGTTGACCATCATCAAATGGCAACTCCTTAGGTGGTTTATTCACCTTTAAGGCATTGGAAAGAGCCTTTTTGGTTCCCGTTCCCAGAGAAACTTCAACTGAGATTCCCTGTCCAAGTGCCTCAGCATGAGGCAATTTTTCACTTATTGAAGGTAAACAAGGTGCGGTCAAGGGTTCTAAATCATCCTCCTCTTGGACCAGGTGGTGGCCCAAGAGGTCAAGGTTGCAAAGTCACTTTTTTTAACAATAACCAGAAATTTCATTAATTAGAAAGAAGGTACACTAGGGAGCAGTAAGCTCTTTTAACTCTTCAGGAAAACACAGTGCAAACCATAAATTACAGTTGAACCCAAAATAGAGACGTCCCTTTCACCCCTTGTTTGGCTAACCCATCAGCAAAGAAGTTATCACTTCTTTTCATCCAGAACACTAACTTCAATGCCCTGTGTCAGCCATTTGAGTTTTTTTCATTTCATTACTGTAAGCCCACAGACCATGCCCATTCTGTTTTTCCTTCAACTAACCCACCACCAAGAACATTATAGTTCTATACAAATCATACTCAACTGTGCACCCTAATATTAAAGTGAAGAACTTACTTGAAGAGCCTTTTCAGCATTTGTTTCTGTAATCACCCCTACAGCTGCATTTGCGGCCAAGATCATCAAGATAACCTGTCAAAATAATAAAATCAATATAATAGAGAAGGGACCAACTGAAAAAGGATGAGCATGAGCTTGAGCTGCTTTTAAATAAGACTAATCCATAAGCTCAAAACTCAAATTTGCTTACACCCCCCCCCCCCACCCAAAAAAAACCTCAAAACTCACATTGGATAAAAAAATGACAATGACAAGGCTCTAAAGCAATAAATGCTTAACAATGCTTAAGAAATTTGGCAAAAAACTAACATACAAGTGACAAAAATACAGGTAGCAAACTGAATATTTTGGACTCCTGACAGATGCTTTAGAATTCAAAGATTTCATTTTCAATGACAAATTGTCAAACTAAGACCAAGTATATTGAGTTATAGACAAGAACTTTTTTTATTAGTTAGTTTAACATTTATTAGAAAAACAACAATATATACAAGCAATAACCCAAGGAGAGGAGAAAGATGCAACCTCTCCCATAAAAAACAATCGAATAGGCACATTATAACTGAGACCAATCAAATGATCCCTATTAATCCCTTGCTTGGCTCCGGAATCAGCCATCCCATTAACCAGTCTTCTAACCCATAGAATCATCAGTGTCATGTTGCTGGTTAACCATTTAAACTTCTTAATTTCATCCCTATAAGACCATATTATAGACTCCAGCTTCTTTAGCCATCCCACCACCAGTTTAGAATCCCCCTCAACAATCAACTTGTCCATATTCAAATTGCTATCTACACCTCTTGAATTACAACTAAGAATTCAGCCCTGATAAGAGTCCCCCCATGGTTTAAAATGTCTCTAATTTCCCTAATATTTCTACAACATATTTCCATTTCCATGGGTAGCAACACAAAATTTTACTAGAATCAACATATTCCCCGATGAAGACTACCAGCACTATGTGGAGTTCAAGGGAGAGTTTCAATGACATACATATTCCCCAATGAACACTACCAGCACATATGGAATACAAGATATAGTATTGTAACATAAGTTGGTGATAATATTGTAGATATGTGGAGTAACAATATTATTGCCCACCTAACTTACATGATTACCACTTTGTGTTAGCTAAATATTCATTTCAAGCATGAAGTTAAATATCAGTTTTTCTTTGTGCAATAGATTATTTGGTTGATCACTTATCAAAAAAAAAAAAGATTATTTGGTTGATCTATTACAACCATTTACATTTTCTGTGAGTTTAAATTTTGTTTTAACTCATTCTATCATGAAGCTCTGAATCTTAAGGTTTACAAGGCAACTTCTGAACGTATTCTTTGTCTGTAACCTTAGTATTTTAGCTTTTTTAAGAGATTTGGAACAAGATAATAATTTAAAAGGGTGTGTCTATGCTTCTTTTATCATTTCTTTTTTTTTATCAATAAAGTGAATTTTATTAAAGTATTGAAAATTACATAGCAAAGGAGCTAAACAATCTTAACTCCCGAATACAACCAATGTACACCCAACATGTAAATCAATTACAGCACAGCCCAAAACATAGAGTTTCTGTTCACCCCTTGCCTAGCTAAGACCATCTGCCAATGAATTTGCACTTCTCTTTACCCATGTACATTGAATTTCAATGTCCATAGTCAGCCACTTAAATTTCCTCTTTTCATTGCTGTAACTCCAGAGCCTAGAGTTGTCCTCTTTTATTCTTTTATCATTTCATAAAATATCATTCTACATTTTGCATATTTACAAGGTTTCCACCATGTCTATAATTTTTACAATATTTCCATATGATATTCCCGACATTTCCAGCATGTTTCTTATATTTGGACGACCGACATTCCCACTGACACCGACATTTTAAACCTTGATTTCCTCACACCCACTGGAAACAAAGCCACAATATTACTTTCCTTGTCTCTAAATACACCCCCTACTCCACAAGGACCCAGATTGCCCTGGCTGCTTCCATCAAAGCTAAGCTTGATAAAATCCTCATTAGGAGGTGATCAACAAGGAAGAACCAGTTTCTTTTTTGAATAATAACTGCAGCATTAATTGAGACTGGTAGTCAAGAAAAACCTGAAGTAACCATTTCCTTCTGTTATGGTTCACTTATCTGCAATGAGGAAGAGATTGGAGGATAATGTTGGCCCTAGCATACCACTATGTAGATGAAATGAAGATACACCTATGAGGTGCTGTCATATGGGCATTCACAAATCAACCCCACAAATAAATTCTGGTTTGGTTCAATTTTCAGGATTACCAGTAGTCACTGCCATCCCTTTGTTGAAACCAAGGTTCAAAATTTTGATACGATACGCCCTGTCGTATCGGTGGCTTAACGATATGCCCCTACAGGGGTCGTATTGGGGTCTGACCTGGTTCAGGGGGTAGACTAGCCTTAGACTGACCCCCCTGAACCAGTTTCAAAGAATAAAAAGGGAGAACGAGCTTCGAAACAGGTCGATCGATATTTTAAACCTTGGTTGAAACAACTTTCAGCACTACAACCACCTAGGATAGGAGATAAGACCAAGTATACTTTCACCTAGTTTCTTTTCTTTAAGGCAAAATTTAGAGATCAAGAGTTCATTGATTTCATGGTCTAGATTCTGTAGAACGCCAGGTAGTCAAGAAATATGTCCCCACTCTCAAACAAATGAAACCAAGGTTAAGAAGTTGAGATGGATGAGTAGCATGACTAAAAGGGCAAAGTCAAAAATGAAGGTCAAAAAAAATCAACATTCAGATCATGCTAAAACTTTGATGGTAAAACACTCTGCCATGCCACTAAGACTATAACCACAATGAAATCAACTCATTACTGCCAACCAAGACCCAACTTTCCTTCTCAACATCCCAACAAGTGAGACTCCAAATTTGAAGTGAAAATATTCCCATTCCAATATGGAATTGCAATTCTAAAGGAGGATATTTATTCATCAACCTCAGTCTTTGATAGACTGAATGCTCTTGACCCAGATTAAGAATCAGATAATCAACCTTCCCTCAATCTAAGTTGTTACCATCCAACTCAATAAATCCCCCCAAGGCATTCCTAATTTCAAGAAAGGTCAATATAAGCATGAAGTGGAACACCAAAGATATGCACCTACCACCTCATGTAGGACATAGGAGGCTTGAGAGCACCCACAAAAGGTTCCCACCTAACCAACTGAAACTTAGTCCTGTTGAAGGATTTGCATACCTGACTAAGAACCTGAAGCACCTCCTCCAACTTAATGACAAAGAAGAACAACCGGCTCCAAAACATCATACCAATGGTTTTAAAAGACCTCACCATCCAGTCACCACCCACTCTTCAACCTCCTCTAAACCCGGTTTCACCAAATCAAACATTAGTGGAGAAAACTATCCTTGCGGCTACTCTCACCAATGCTACCCTTACTCTATTCTAACCTCTAACAACCTGAAAAGAAGTAGCCTCAGATTCCTCCTCTTTCCCCATCTTTTTACCCCCTTCTTGTATTTTATTTTTCTTTAATAGATCTTTTATAAATGGCTCAAAATGATTAATGAGAGAAAACATTATATACCTGAAAAAAAAGCACTGCTGTGTGACCATTGGTTAAAGTGCTGTATCGGATACATTTCAGATGCCAAAATTCTATCTGTGGCACTTCTACATAACATTTTCCCTTTTATCCTTGATTATTTCACATAAGTGAAAAGTTGTACATGATAAATGTCATTTTTCCTATAGAATGTTACTTCAATAATAAAGATAAACTTTCAGGCCTTTTTTATGATATTAGAGTTCAAAACATATGGACTATCTTAATAGTATTTACTTTGTCAAAGATGGGTCTGTGAGTCCTTTGTATTTCCAAGCCAGATTCCTGGGCACACATCAGGTACCAATACCCACATCCATGCCCATGCAATACTGACAAAAAGAAACAAGATTATGAGTAGAATTATTTAAATAGAAGGGATAAAAGATGACTCCATCAAACACTAAGAACAAGGGATAAGGATGGCAACCAAAACATGGTTCCACCATCGATGTTTGTTTTAATACATGTAGACATCTCTTCTATTCTATTTTTGTTTCTACTGTGCATCTAGAAGAGTGGATTTGGCTATGTAAATCCTTAAATGAGTAGTTTCACATGCCAGCCAGAGTCCAAACATGTATATTGGCTAGGAGGCTTTGACCCAACCGCCCCCCCCCAAAAAAAAAGGCCATATAGCTACAGAATATTGCTCAAAAGACGTGAAGAATACAGCACCAGGCCTTAATCCTTGATAGCCAAATGAAAAAGGAAAGTTACCACTTTAACAAAGCCACTGACAAGTTCACTACATACTCAAATTCAAATAACAAAAAACACTTCGGAAGACACCACGCTAACACAAGCCATTGCCAAGTTTACCACATACTCAAAATTCAAAATGCACTTAAAGAAATTCAAGTAACATTAATAAGAGTTAGCATAAATAGATACTTATAATTTCAAATAATTCATGTTTAAGCAACTGGCACTAAAGATGACTTATCGGCATCCTTTATTGCAGTAAATACTCAATACCTATTGTAAAAAGATCATTTGCAGCATATTTAAAAACAAGTAACAACTCTTGATATGTGATCTTCAAGTTTCACTGAATGAACAATTAAATCAAGATTGTCAAGTATAGAGTAATATTATTTCTTACAGAAGGTTCCAAAAATGCTGTTAGGCCCGTCTCTCCATCAATCAAAGCCAGAATGAATGAAACAAGGGCAGCCACGATTAGTATCTTAACAAGCAAATCATCAAACTGCTTCAAAACCAATTTCCAGAAGGGGGTACCTGAATTAAAGATAAAATATTAGAGCTGTAAATTTGATTTTTTTTATGTAGCAAGTGAACTGATATCATCAGAACATAATGCACAAAAATTAGTCTTTTCCTATTCCTAATGCAAGTACTGAACCAAGCTTTTTTTTTTCAAAGTCTGAACCAAGCAATTCATTGCAGTTCTACTAAGATAAGTCAATAATTCAGAATATGGAAAAGAATGATAGCTAGAAGGCACCAAAGAAAAGAAACAACTTCAAAGACTTAGCATACTCAGCAAGTTGGAACGATGTAATTGTGAAAGGATATTGTCAGGTGGTGATTGGCTGCTCTCATCAAGCACAGACAAACCCTGGACCCTGAGATATTTGGTTATGAAAGATTATTAGCATCCAATATTAACTGCTCATTCAGATGGATTACAAGATCAGCCACTAAACTCACTGACTCCTTAGCAAGTGAAGGGGTAACAAGGATAGAACACAAACAGGATGCTAGCCCAGCGCTGAACTTGTAATATATTTATGCACTAAACATACTTGTAAGTGGCAGCCTTTGGCTGTTTGTACTGGTCCTTTTCCATTACAGTAATCTTCAATGGTGGGGTTTCCTCTGCTTTTTACTTTATCACTTAAAAAATTCTCGGATTATTGTTATGGATCAAGAAAAAGAAAAAACTTAGCATTACTATTTCTACAGTGAACTTGCAAATGGACTACATCAGTTGAGGAAAAAAACACAAATGCAAATTGATATAAAAAAAAAAATCATAAAGTTATAGATTTCATAATTTTATGCAGATAAGCAGATGTTTACCCTATAGATTCAATAAAATTATAATTTTCTCATAAATTTCCTTCAAGACGAGAATGAGGCCAAAAGGCTTTTTTCAGACAATTTCTTCCTTCTATTCAGATCTGCTAGCTTCTTTTTGGCCTTCTAAAAAGGCTCAAATTGATCTAACCAGGTGCATGCCGCTGCATCAAGGAGTATGAGGATGATTATATTGTTATTGCTGATGTTGTTGTTTTTCAGTAACAAGGGATGCTTCCATCATTCATAATAGCTTCTCTTGTCGTCCAACACCCTAGTACCTACACTAAAACAATACTCCGATGGAACTATAGACACCGGAGGGGTTAGTAGATCACGTGCCATGGTGGCGAGAACTGGATAATTTTTTGCATGTTCACTCCACCAAGCTAAAATATCAAAATTATTTGTTCCCTTCAAGGTGAAGGAATGGTGGAGGATAGGGCTATTTATAGGAATTGAAAATAATTCAATTGCCCAAAATACCCTAAAAAACTAGCCATTTTTTAGTTGTTGGGAGGGGTATTTTGGTCATTGTAAAGTTATTTATCACTTTACCCAAAATGCCCCCCAAACTAGCTATTATATAGCTAATGGGGGGGCATTTGTGTCATTCTTTCTCCCCCCAAAAAACCAAAACACATAAATACCCCCTATATAGTTGTTTATAGCAGATAGGGGGTATTTCTGTAAAAAAAAAACCAAAAAGCTAAAACTAGTTCACTGGACGGGCAAAGCGTGGCCTGCGGGCCGTGTCACACCGGCTCGTGGACCTAGAACCCCAAGCCCAACACGGCCCGGACCATCATGCCAGACCGGCCCAAATTCGGGTTGGGCCATGCTGGGCGCAGACGGCACAGCCCGCCTTACACCTCTATCAATAATTAGGGATGCAAACTGATCAGACCGGATTCGAATCAAGGTATATTTGAATCCGATCTGACATTGTTGGATCTTCGGATCTGATTTGATCCAAATATTTGATCGGATCTGATAGAACTCGATTTGAATTCGAATCCTATCGGTAAGTTGGATCTTTGGATCTAATCCAAACTGACTTGTTTTCTTTAAAAATTAATAAATTATTAAAATAAAAATAAAATATACTAATTTAAATAAAGTAAAAACAAAAAATACAAGTATTTTTTAATTATTTTCATCATAAATATACACGTTTTTATAAAAATAAATAATATAACAAATTTATATAAATATATTTATAAATAAATAAATAAAGCATATATATATGTATTATATATTTTTATAAATATATAATATATCGGATCAAATAGGGGATGATCCAAATCTGATCCGATTTCTGGTCAAATCCTATAATCTGATCTGAAGATTCGAACAGGGGTGATCCGAATTCAACCAAATAGGATCAGATCGGATCATGATCCGATCCATTTGCACCCTATTAGTAATACTGAACGCAAAGGAATTGAAATACTAGAATCCAATCGGAGACGCAATGCCCAAGCAAAGCCAGAGTTCCTCAAAAAAAATTGAAACAACACCTCTTGCAAAAACCTCAAAGACTGGTTCTAACCACTCCTCACTACACCATCTTTGAAAGCTCAAAATTCCTGGTACATGTTAATTTGTTTCCACCTTTTCCCCCCTCTTTTCGAAAAACCCCAGATCCCATAATTGGCTAGGCCCCCTAAAAGTCTCTCTTCATCCAACTTCAAATAATTCTGAAATAAAATTGAAAATCAAAAATTACAAGAATACAAAAATTATTGGATTCACCTTTTTCCCTCATGATCCAAAATACATAAATACCCCCTAGTGGTGATTTATAGCTGTTGGGGGTATTTTAGTCAAAATACCCCAAAGAAGGCAAATAAAACTGTTGGTCCCCAACGGCTATTTTTTCATGGGCCGCACACATGCCAAGCTGGTATATGAGTCATGCCATGGCGGTCGTGCCGTGTCACTAGGTTGTTCGTTGGTAGCCCAATCCCCCTCCACTGCCTAGGCCTGACACGGCCCGGATTCTTGTGCATGGCACGGTACTATTGCGACCGTGTCATGCCTGGCATGGTCCCTATCATGACGGCCCGCCACCAGCCCAGCCCATATTACAGCTCTAGTTATTATGAGTACTCTTGTTAGATAAAATATCTGTGCCCTCATATTCATTTATTGAGAAATATATTGACCTATATATACACCAATAGTCTCAAAGATGAAACTCTTTGGCTGCAGCTACCAGCTAGCACTTCCAACATCTTTTTTTATCAATTAGCATTTCAACATATTGCACCATGTTATCTTCAATCTGTTCCACCATTGCATCTTCTTGGAGACCATCTTCAAGCCAATCGTATTAGTACTTTCTGAATTTTTATGTATGAATGGGTGGTAAGGTTATTGTCATAACTTTTCAATGGCTATTTTCTGATTATTTGAGCCATTATCAGTCTTCCTAATTGCATTAGAAGTTAGTTCTCCTAACATAGAAGTGGTATTTACCAATCAAAAAAACCACATGAACGGTATTTATTTATATACCTATAACATCAAATATTTTAAGGATACAGATAGAGAAAACCACCTCAAACAAGACCTAGCAAAGACAAGATCAATATGAAAACATGGAAAAATCAGAAAGAAATATAGCAGGTGCAACTGTGTTTACACAGTCCTGTGATTTAAATAAATAGAAACATTTTGTTTTTGAGTTAGCACCTAGTTATTCGGGTCCAAAAACATGCGATCAGTGATTTCCTGTTGGAAAACCACCTAGGCTCCAATAAGGTCTCAAGTCTCGTTGTCTCAACCAACAAGTGACAAGGATGGAATAGATTAAGTGCTCAACCCCACCTCCCCCCATTCCCAACAAAAAAAAAAAGAAAAAAGAAAAAAGGAAAGAAAGAAAGAAAGAAAAAGGAAAAATCCTAGTAGTGGCTGGTACCAACTTTTTTACAGTAAAAAGGGGGAAATATTGGTACTTAACTTATAAGTTATAACACAGAGTAAGTGGCTTCCATTCAGGGAAAACACCAAAACATATGCACACAAAGAATAACAAGAAAACAAGGAAGAAAATGGAATAATTCCAACTAGTATCCTGCAGAACAGAAGCACAACTCATATTTTAAACAAACCTTTTTACATGTAAGAAAATTCAAAAGCAACAGTCTGAAACCACCCAAACAAAGTCCATTGCTACCCAAAATAAAATTCTTGGTATGGAAGGGTGGGGATACAAACATGTGCATATACAGAGAGAATGGTATGTGATTAACTTACTTGCTTCTTGAGGCAGCACTGAAGATCACATGGCACACATGCAAAGAAGAGAAAGAGAACCGGATTAGCAATCAAAAATAAACCAAATAAATATTGAACTTACAACAGTTCTATAACAAATCTAATATGTGAAAAGCTGACAAAAATCAATCAATTTATAGTTAGTTTAATTATCTCGGTGATTTCCTGGGAGTGAATTTTTCCCACTATCATCTTATGTCATTATAAACAAAGAAGCCCTGCAATACATACAAATACCGAAGGTTGACCATGACCATATCTTCTTTTCAGTATCTTTTATAACCATTGAGAACTGCCCATGCTATACATAACTGAATGAATGCACTAGTGCAAGACCTATAACTCTTGGCAATGATAAGATTTTAGATTGTGGAGGTATAGGGAAATTTTTAGGTGATTATACCCTCAGAGATTGACACCTGATCAGAGACACCAATAATCCTTTTTTTTTTGATGAATCACCAATAATCCAACTTCTAATGCCAACATCTCATTCAGGTGGATACAGAAGTCAGTGAACTCAATATTTAACATCTTTGTCAGAAATGGCATTGGAAGGGTAAAACTTGCATCAAGGAGCTTCACTCCCCAGATAGTTGCTGCTAGCTGTCTGGTTATTTGTAGAAAGTGTTTTAGCCTTTCCTCTGTTAAAGGCTTCTTATATAGCACCTTTGGGTGCTCTAGATGATTGTATTGATTCAACAATGCCTTTTTATATATACCATACCATCAACTTGTCACGTGTATATAGAATAACATTTTATCTTGTTTACCAAAAAGAGAGAAACCAAATCCCTGAATTTCAATTTTTCAACAGCATGAATTTGACACCTTTTGATATATGTCCTCTTGTATTTCCTTGAATGTAGGAATTTGAGCACAAAGAGCGAATACTTAAATAGAAGAAATTCTAGTGAACTGATTTCTTGATGCCAGGTTGCCAACTAATATTACTGTTGTTGAACAATCACTCAACTTCAATTCCAAACTCCCAATTTACTAATACAAAACATGTTACTTTTCTATTCTTCTTTTTATTCATTTTTTTGGAACGGTATTTTCTATAAGATTGGATTAAAATCAAAAAGAAAAAAAAAAACATTCAGATGGATCCAGCATCAGCTAACTTTTCAACAACAGCTTAGCTAGGGGTTGAGTAGCTTGGAGTAATTTGCATTGGGGAATTGCCCCTGAGATAGCCTACATATTGTTTTCTTGAATTCACATCTTCTCTAATATTGTAGCTCTAATGGTTTTTCTCTTCCATCTAGTCTCCTAAGAAATTAATGTTTATAATAAATACATCATGAATAAATCATTTCTTATTCATCAAAAAAAATGTTTGTAATAAATTATATTCTGTTTCTATAAATTAAAAAAAAAAAAAAAAACAAATCTTAGGTGACGGTTGTTACATCAAATTGAAGCCAATGGAGACTTAAACTTCCAGTGCTAATATGTTTTAGTGAGAAATATATTTAAAAACGGAATTGAAGTTATATCATTTGTAAACAATCGTGGAATAAAGTGATCATAGGACACACTCTTAGTAATTTACGTACTCCGAATGTATAGTTGAGTGAAATTAGTAATAGAGAAGTACCATTTTTTCCATATATTCTAGTATTTTCTGCAACCTGCAATAAACAAAGATAACAAAATTTACTTCAGAGAACAGCTAACATTGACTGGTAGTCAAACATTAGCGTCAAGAATGACAGAAAGCTCATCAAATTCATTAACACGAGTAGGTCTCCAAATCTGATCGGGAGTGAGCGACTTCATACCTGAGAATCTGTGAGACCTTTGGTCGGGTCTACTCCGAAGAAATCCAAAACCTGACCAAACGAATACAATGCATCATAGGCTGAGTGGTAGCATTTTGATTAGGGAGCGGTGGCACTCAAGCACCGAGAGGGGGTGGGAGGGAAGATCAGCAACAATAGATCCCGTCTCGGTTGTAGTGAAAGGGTAATATAGCCATGTCACTTTCAGAGTTCAATAACAAGTGCAGCAAAAGTGGATCAGCAACGAGGCTTACCTCCGTTACGGATCGGGCGTAAGCGTCCTCCATGGAGATGCTTCTGCCTGCTGGATTTGAAGGGACTGAGAAGGGACGATTTTATTGTGTGAAAATGTGAGCATCAAACCAAGAATTATGGTTTTCCCTAATTAAAAAATATTGGGGTTTTCCAATTTCCAGTTTGCCACCTGTTTCTCTCTGTGTGCGAAACACAGACGTTCCGCGCTAAAGTAACGTATGGTGAAAACTAAAACAACTCTGGGAGGTCAGCTACAGGCCTACAGCACTTTTTTGGCGGTACGCGTGGTCACTCGACTCACTCTCCAGTATGGCTAAGTTTGGGAGTGCATAAAATTAAGGGGTAAATTGCATTTTAATACCTTTATTTGCCAGTCTTACTTTATATCCAAATTTCAAAAGGTGCCAATCTAATCCTTGAATTTTAAAGCGTCCGAGTTTAGTCTAAAATCGTTAATTGCCGTTTAAGTGGCATATGAAAAGACTCAAACGCTTTTGGGGTGTAATCTAATTTTCTTTATTAATCATTCAAATGCCCAAATCGAGTAGTGTCCATCCATTTGTTCAATTCATTTGGTGATCTATTGTGGGCTTTGCCTTGATTCTTGAAGAAGAATATGATAAATTGTATCTTATTTTAAAACGTATTTTTGATATTTTAAAAAGTTTTAAGTTGTATATGTCATCATGTGATATAAATAATTAACAGACTATTAATGATATGGATTAAATTAGTAATTTTTGAGAATTTAGGTATTAGATTAGCACATTTTGAAATTTAGGTATCAAAGTGAAACTAGACCCAAAGTATAGAGTATTAATATGCAATTTATCCTAAAAATAAGGATAATTTGTTAAAATACCCCTGTAATTTTATAAATTTATTAAAAATTATTCTATAGTTCGCATTTTGCTAAAACACCCCCTTTAGCAATTGATCTTCCATTAGATGACCCTAGAAATTGTGACTACTCTATTTGGTCATTTTTTTGTACGAATAAGTGTTAGGGGTATTTTTGGTATAAACAATCATGGGTCCGTGACCTTTAACATTTTCCACTTATTTTAGGTGATCATGTTACTATTTTCAAATGGCAAATACAAACATTTATTAGTAAAATGTTGATTAAGTAAATTGGTTGCAAACTATAGGGGTGTTTTAATAAAATGAAAACTATAGGATAAGTTTAAGTAAATTCATGAAACAATATAGGGAGTTCTAATAAATGACCCTAAGAACAAACACTTATTCAAATGGCCACTTTTTTTGGGTTGGGACCACACCAATAAGTGCTTATTTGTGTTTGGAAAATAAGCCAGAATAAATTCTTATTCCTAAGAATATCGAGAAACCCAGATTTTGGACTTATTTTTAAGTGTTTATTTCTTGTCTCGACATGCCACATCATTTTAAAAATACCTATATATACTACCCATATTTGAAACGAATGCTTTTCTTATTAGAATAAGCACTTATTTTCAAATAAGCACCCCAAACTCTGCATTCTTTTTCACCGGTTGCTTATCTCTAGTATTTTGAATATGTGATAAGCAAAATTGGCCATGCTCGATTTATAAGTCGTAACTAAAGGCATCTTTTAAAAATGTGGATTTGGCATAGGGATGGTCAATAATTGAGATGACCCAGGCCTGGGCCGGACGTTCACATCTATTTTATACTATTATAAAGTAGACCATAAAAAAGTTAAGGCTCTGTTTGAAAGGAATAAAAATGCAAATATATAGAGTGTAAAACCTTATATTTTATATTATTTTATATGTATTTGTATTTATACTCTTTCCAAAATGAGCCTAAGGGGTAATCATTTAAATTATCCGTAAGTTTTAGGAAATTAATAAACCCTATCCCTACTATTTACAAAATCCTTCAACTATCTATAATCTTCCTAACAATTGATTAAATCATCCCCTACCATTAGCATTTTGCCACAATCCGTTCACATATGACACCACATAATTTATATAATTTCTATAAATCTCATTATTACCCTTTATGGTCGAATGCCCTTTCAACTTTGGGCTCCTGAAACCTTGAACTAGGTCTCATTTAACAAGTCTCATACGAATTGGTTTAGCTTGTTCCCAGGCCAATGGAGCAGTATAGAAAACATAGCAATACGCATGGTACCCAATGGCTACCCAACATCAATAGTAGGGCCGAAGTGCTACCCAACAAACTGGTTCAGCTTGTTCAGGTTTACGCTTAAACTAGCAGATGAATGGTGTTAAATTGTTAATGCTGTGTTTGAGAAAGAATTCTCTCTTTTTTTATCTTCATTCAGAATGGAGGTTAATGACGTGGAAGCATTAGTGTGAGTTCACAATTGCAGCTACCACCGGCTTAAGAGATCTTGAGATGATCCAGTGAAGTTAATCAGTAACCCAATTAAAAAGAAAGGCAGGTTCTTTGCCCTATCAAGGCAGTTGGTTCCAGCTAACTGATCGTCTTTATTTCTCAAACACGTTTAATCTGCATTACCCCAAAAATCCTGTATCCCCAAAATATGTATTGGAGATGAAATCGGCTTCAGTCAGTGTAATGGCCATTCAAACAGACCTTACAGTTCAGTTCGGCTTCAGTCAGGGAAAAGCCCATTCCAGCAATCTTTACTGCCTTGTATTGAGAATATCTCCATATTTATGTATTTTATTTCATGGGAAGGTATTCCCAATGCAAGGTTGCGAAAGACTGTTAGAATGGTGTGGGCACAGGTTTGCCCTGATGGAAGCCGATCTCCTTACAGTTTTGTATTAGGAATATCTGCCTACTTATATACTTTATTTCATGGGAAGATATTCCCAATGCAAGGTTGGGAGGAACTCATTGAAGCTAATTTGCCCCTTGTACGTGATCAGCTTCATCAAAACAAAGATACTGAGACATTTGAGTTAAGATAGGACTTCAAGAGATCAAAGAGTCCATGTTTATAACAAAGATTGCAATTGGGTTTTTAGAGGTATGTCATGAAGATTGGGAAATCTAAAACCATAGATGGGAGAGATGGAGTTTTTATGAGTGCTTCCATGAGTACTACCTAAAAAGATAGAGCTAATGCTTCAAACCAACTAAGAAATAGAACCAATCTCTCATGGTTAAGAATATAGAACAAGTGAAGAAAAGAAACTGAAAATAAACAAGTAAAAATCTATGAATTACAAATTAATCTTGAAGAATAAAACATCAAAGCCATGAATCTCTTGCCTGATGTGAACCAAAAAGTTGGAAATTGATTTGTTCCAAGTAAATCAAAGGGACAAACCTTAGTTTTTTTATATCAGTGAGCATTGATTTTATTGTATAGTAAAGAATATTATTGAGGATGCAAAGGCAGTTGTATTGCTACCTATGGCACCAAAAGCCTTTGTTTCAGAAATTAAGATGAAAGCATGGTTTTCAAAATCGGACTGGACCGAAAAAATTGGGAATCGGTTAGGTGGTTGGTTTTGTTTTCCCCAAAAATCGGATTTTCCTCTAAAATCATTGATTTTGGTCAGCGAATTACTGAACTGGGCGGTTAATCGTTTGAACGGTTTTGACTGTTTTTTATTTTTTTTTTTATTTTCTTGTCAGAACGGGTCGAGCGTTAGATCATTCGAACCGATAACCAGACCCTGACTGATTCGATCACCGGGTCGATTTTAAAAAACATGGATGAAAGTGTTTTCCCAAAACATTCCAAGTGTTGCCCTCCAATATAACTCTTCTAATATAGACTTGACCAATTCCCTCAATTCAAATATATTAAACACAAAACCAAAGGTTAATCTGCTGAAATTATACCTTGTGCTTTTACAAATCTATGGCTAGTTCATCGTGTCCATATTCTCACCAACAACATTGTAAAAAGTGTCCTCTTTGTGTGTTAAATGAGCTTGTTAAAGTTCTTTATTCCTCTTCCATTTATTATTTAGGCTATGTTTGGTTTAAAGGGAAAGGAAGAGAAAGACGGAAAACAGATACTAGGGTTGTAAAGGTTTTTCTTCCTTTCCCTATATTTTCCTTCAAACCAAACATAACCTTAGTTCATGCTGTCTTAAATAACTCATATATAATAGTAGTTTTTTGTGACAACCTCCATGAGCAAGGCTCTCTCTCTCTCACACACACACAGTTGGGGTTCTCGAAGCCCAGCTCTTCCCCTCCTCTCATATTTCTTTTTTTTTTCACATTTTTGTCTCAAAAAGCACAGTTATTATTGCAACAGACATCACAAGGAATTCTGTTCTCCTCCATTGAACTTGGTCCCCCTGTTATCTGTTGGTGAGAGTAGAGAAGGCAAGTGGTGGTGAATAGCGATGGTGGGAGCATATCTGATAATATCAGTTATCAGAGACACTCAATGTACAGGTAATGTACAAGTAAGGGTATTGTTGAAAATTTTGATCAGTTAGGGTTTACTTTGAAAATTTGAAACATAATAGAAGACAAATTCGATATCTTGTTATTTCCATTAACGTTTAATAGTGATGTCAATTATTTGAAAACTTAAGGATATTTTAAGAGATTTTATAAACAATGTAGAGAAAGTTAATTAGTCCATTCCCTAAAGCTTAAGAGTAATTTAAGAGATTTTCCCAAAAGTTAATTACTTAATTTTGATTATATAACATCAAACTTTTATCTCCAACCTTTACTTATACATGTATCTAGCATATAACATATGTCATTTCACGCCTATCAAATTTTCAATTTATTTGGTTGCATCAAATACCCATGCATACAAAGTGCTCCTATCAAACTAAATCACTGGTGGTGACTGGTGTGCCCACATCAAATTAAATCACCTGTGCCCAAATCAATTTTTGGATAATTTTGTATGGAATCATAACATCTCATAACAAAAAAAATAAGATCAGCGGGCAAGAAAATACCCTCAAAGAAACAAAGGTTTCCATTCTCACATTTTTACAATTTGGAGATAGTAAAATTGTATTTAGGGGGAGTTCAAATTAGCCCCCCACCAGATTGCCCCCCATAACGTCTCACAACACATCTCTACCGTGTATTGAAAGCATTTCCTAATGATGACATTATCATTTCTGGAATTATTATCAGGAAATATTTCTAATACACAGAGGAGATGTGCTGTGGGATGTTGTGGGGAACAATCTTGTGGGGGGCTGATTTGGTCTCATTCAGGGAAGTCTGGGTCATGCCAGGCATCCGGGCCTGCTTGTTCATGTAACTG